TTCTTTTCCCATCCCCCAAATATCAATAATTAGCTGGTTGTTCTCTCCCATTTTATTCCTGTTTCCAGTGAGCCAGGCAAAATCCTAGATCATAGAAATGAAGTTTGGAACAAGGACAGTACAGTTTGTTAGTATGCAAAATTGCAAATATCCACTTACCTCACCTCTACCATTCATGCGGTAAGATTCACCTTTAAGAATCTGTCAATTCATTTGGAGCCCGTGGGGTCAATTCATTTTTCCAGCTGAGCCATCAGAGTTATTTTTAGGATAGTTTAAATTATTTTTGGTTGTCAGCTTTGGCAAAGGCTGTTGCAAAAATAAACTGGGTTTATATTATATTTTTTTAAAAAAACAAATACCTGACTGTGTTTAATGAATGGGCTAAATAAAACCAGAGATTTCAGCTAAACCTGCAATTTTATCCATAGTCCCTGTTTACTTTATTAGACATATTGTCAAGGTCACTGCCCCCTTGTTCTCTCTTTGAATGGGACTCAAAGAAGTAAGACGGTATTTTTTTCAGGCCTGACCTTGAAAAAAACTTTTTGAAAAAGACCCAACTTTTTTAATGAGGTTTCAAGATTTTTGTGAATTATTGTTCAATCCTGCATGACTCAAAGTCAAAGGTTTTCACATTGGCATAATGATTGCTGTTGCAAATTGAAGTTTGTTTTGTTTTGTTTTGTTGAAGCGGAATCAGGACTGAATGTAAAGTAGCAGTTTAAGCAATTGGAGGCTTTTGAAGGAAGTGGATGGAAAATCAAGGCAGGTTTATAATATAAAGCATATACGGTAGTTCTTGTACCTAGAGCTGATGAGTTTTGCAGTTTGGGGTTTTTGAAAGAGCCAACATTTTCCCCCATGGCTGATTATATTTCTTCTGGCATCATATGAAGCTTCAGTTATGCCAGGAAGGAGGAATAAAATTAGATCTGTAGTCATTAGTTTCAGACCAGTAGTCCTTCTCTTCTTGATTGTCAGACTCATAAATGAGGACAGCTGACCATTGTTTCCATTGCAATTGGCGGAAGGGTGTGGTTTCTATTGATTTGTGATGCTAATATTGCTAAAACAATCTCTGGCTCTCAACAGATGCTTTCATCTTAATAAAAGAGATTCAGATCTTAGCAAAAGATCTGAAGAATCTTGAAGAATCATTTTGAATTGGTTAAGTGCTTTAAATGTTTTGTACTTAATTACTCTACTTACTCAGTTTTGATAGTATCAATCTGTCCTCGGAATCCAATGGACTTTTTAAAAAATCCAAGCTGCAAATAAGTGTACAGCTGATTACTGAGACACACCAATTTAATATAAAATTGATTTTACTCTAATGTCTTCAAAATATTGATGTAAAAATTCTGGTTAGTTTGAATATTAACTTCATGTTTTTAGCATCAAATATGTTTGCCTACTAATAGACCTGAAAGAGAAATCAGAAGAATCATCAATTTAAAATGCTTAGATAAAATATTGATCTCATAGTAAATATGTAAAGGAATAAAATGCACTAGAATCATTTTTTTCCCCAAAACACATTGTGGGGTCCTCGCTGCTATCTGCGCTTGATGGTTTTCTTGCAGATGTTTCATTACCAAACTACGTAACATCATCAGTGCACAGTTTAACCCTGAGTTACAAATATTCTCTATCATCAATATTAAAACATATTGCATATATAAAATCACCTCTATAACATTGCATGTTGAGAACATTAAGTCTTATGTAAAGATGAAGTGCATTCGACGTACCATAGTTCCTCAAATCTGGTAAATTTTATTTGCAAACAATGACTAATTATTTAAAAAGAGTTAAATTCCTTCCCAGATAGCACCTCACTCCACCTCATTTTCTATCAGTATCGCTTTATAGGTAGTCCTCAATTTATAACCACAATTGGAAGCAGAATTCCTGTCACTAAGCAATGTGGCTGTATCGCATTAACATCCGTAGTGATGAAATGCTTTGAGAGATTGGTTCTCCAACACCTTAGGACATGCCTCCCACCGGACTTCGACAAATATCAGTTTGTCTACAGGGGGAATAGGTCGACAGACAACGCCATAGCTACTGCTTTACATTGTGTAGCGAGCCATATGGAGAAACCCGGGAACTAGATCAGGATGCTTTTCATAGACTATAGCTCGGCCTTCAACACCATCCGTATCAAAAAGCTGACTGACTTGGATTTTCCCTCTTCCATCTGTGACTGGATCAAAGACTTTCTGAGGGACCGGCCACAAGCAGTGAGGGTTGGGTCTGACATATCCACATCCCTGAAGCTTAGCACTGGCTCCCCACAGGGCTGTGTGTTCAGTCCCTACCTGCACACACATGATTGTGTAGCATCAGACCCATCTACTGTGATCATTAAGTTTGCAGATGACAGCACTATACTGGGTCTTATTACAGGTGGGGACGAAACAGCATACAGGGGGGAGGTTCAAAAACTTTCCACATGGGGCTTAAAAAACAACCTGTACCTGAACATCAGCAAGACCAAGGAGATGGTCTTCTGGAGGAGGAGAGGGGAACCTGCCCCACTTTACATTGAGGGGGACTGTGTAAAGAGAGTTTCCTCCTTTAAATTCCTGGGAGTCCATCTCAGCAAAGACCTCACCTAGAAAAACAACACAATCCAGGTGGCCAGGAAGGCCCAACAGAGACTCCATTTCCTTAGGGTCTTGTGTAAAAACAGGGTGGAACAACAACTGATGACCTCCTTTTACCTGTCCACAATAGAAAGCGTCCTCACTTATTGCATCACGGTATGGCATGCTGGTCTGACAGCCATGGATAGAAAAACATTACAGAGTGTGGTGAGTACAGCACAAAACATTGTGGGTTGTCTCCTGATACCACTAGATGAGATCACTAGGGCTCGTTGCCTTAGAAGAGTGAGGAAAATTCTCAGGGACGACTCTCACCCTCGTCATCACTTCTTTACCCTCCTACCATCAGGAAGGAGATATAGAAATATAGCCAGCCGCACAAACAGGCTGAAGAACAGTTTTTATCTGTGGGCTGTCAGACTCCTGAATGAGAAATAACATCATAACTATGTAGTTGATGGACTGCAGAGCCAGCGCAGTGTGTAACATGTTCACACTGGTGCAATAGGACTGAGTGTTTTGTTAATATGATTTATTGGGTTTAGGGATTTTCTGTCTTCACTGTGAGTTGTATTGTGTTGGGGGGAGTGCACTGAGGGAGTTCAACCAATCTCATTGTACATATGTTGTGCACTGACAATAAAGATTTGAAATTGAAATTGTAACATGAGATGTCACGTGACCACAGCAATGTAATGACTGCAAACCCAGCACTCCCGGTTGATGTTGTGATTCCAGATACGTGGGTCAAATAAGTGGGGGCAGTCCCAGGCAAGGAGCGCAGGGGTGAAGGATGCTCTGTGAGGCCCAACACTGGCCTGCATGCAAGTTGGGGGAGGAAGTGCAATGCGTTTGAGCATAGGGGTGTTGTGGAAATAAAATGCTGTGGTCAGGAACTTCTTCACACACTACAGCTCTGGGGCTGCAAGAGGCTCCTCAGTCGCAGTGCAGTGTGAAGCCATAGTTGTTCCTGGAAGTCTCAGTTGTCCTAGCCTGGCCCAGCAGCTTGGTAAAACCACTGCATCCTGGAAAGGGCCAAATGCCCTGCACTGTGAACCCCCAAGGTGATCTTTATCATTTTCCTCCCACTATTGACTCTATTGTATGTGAGGCAGCTGCTGGCCATGTCAGGCTTATTCCCACTCGCTTCATTCATTGTGTGCCCTGTTCCCACAATGCTTTGGAAAAGTCTTTTGAAGCATCACAAGGACGTGTCTGCCATTCTCCAAATAGCACATCTGTTCTTGCGAGATCTGGGGAAGACCTCGGAAGCTTTCCAAGGGCTTTTCCAAAGCAATGCAACAATGGGATGCATTTCTTGGGGAATGAATGGTGCACACAATTTAGAGAATGGAGCAAGCAGCCTCAGGAAGAAGGCCTGGCATGGTCAGCAGCTGCCTCATATATTGTAATGTCAGTCTGGGTACACCTCATCAACTGTGAGAGGAAAACAGGGAATGGTGCGTGCTAGGGCTTGTGGAGCATAGGGCATCAGGGGCAGCTACGGCTTTGCCCAGTGGTGCTGGAGTGGCTGGCTGTGGTGTGGGACTTGAGCTGGCATTTCTCAGAGGGAGAAGTAGTACTGGGGCTGAAGGAGAGGCTTGGGAGCAGGGGCAGCTGGTTGAGACTTGTTGAAGGGGCCTCTGCTTCAGCCTCAGCCCCAGTTCTGTCATCATCTAGTGCCACTATGCAGCATGACCGGTCAAAAGGGCATAGATATGGGGGTGGGGGAGTTGAAGCATTCTTGTGATCATAAGTGCAAGCAGGCCCAAAGTTTGGTCATTGGATCCCAGGAGCATTACACCAGTTATATATTTAGATATGGGTCATGTCTCTTCATTTAGCATTGTCATAACTAATAAGTCAAGGAAAAGAAGAACAAAATGACATTTCATTAGATTCTTTGGTATGTAACATCTGTTTAAATTCTCAAATACTAAACAAAATTTTAAATCTATTAAACAGCGAAAAAGCTGGTGTGTAATCCCATGCAAAGTTTCTTGGGCATAAGATTAAGGCTAGTATTGACTTCTAGGTAGGTAGTATATAAAGTTGTGCTATGAAATACTGCTAATAATAATTCATACTGTTTCCTAGCCCTATTAGGATGCAAGCTATTATTTTGTATGCCCAGATGAAACCAATAGTGCTGATAAGTAAAACAAAGCAAACACTATCTCGTGGAATTGTTTTAAAATTGATTGAATGTTTGGATACGGTTTTGTGAAAGAAAAAGGAAGCTGCTAGGACTAGGTAACCTACCCCCTCTTTTAATAGGTCACTTCAGCCTTGCTTCTTGAGGCTGCAATGGGTAAACCATTCCCTATCTGTTTTCCATCACTTTCCATCTGTTTCATTCCTTGTTGTACTTCGTTTCTTTCTCAGGTGAGAACTGACTCAATATGAGTGGCCTTGGGAACAATTCTACGGACCCAGGAAACCTGGAATCTCAAAAGAGGAAGGGGTCACCATGCGACACTCTGATACAGAGGTAAGTACAATTTTAGGGAATTATTCTTCCAGGATGGAGAAGGGTTTTTGTTTTTTTCTTTTCGGCTTTCTGGCACTCTTTTTCTGCACAAGCAGATGGGAACAGATTTCATCCCCTCAGATAAGTTCACACATCCCACCAGTGTTTGGCTGTTTGTTTGTGAGTATCTACTGTGGAAGATGGAACACAACTCTCCATCTGTTCGTCTTCTCTCTTGGGGAGCAACTGGTGATTTGTGACTGAAGCTGTTTTTACTTATTGATTGACTTGGGTTTGTAGCACACTTCACACTTTATGGTCATTAATATTTCTCTTGTTTCAAAATCTGAAATCTAAACTCCTCACAATAGGAGCCCAATTCTGAGGTCATAGGTCCATTTGCTTAGTTAATTTATATTCCATACCTCCTACATAAATTTTACATTGCAAAATAGCTAAGCTGGAAGACATAGTTATTATTAATATGCTAAACAAATACCCACTGCAGTATTCCACTTAGATTAATAATAAAATCAATACTGCTGTCAGATGAAGATGCTAATACTGGTTGTATTTAAAAGTCTGGCAGAACAAACATTATTTTCATCCCTTGCCAAAATTGTAGGAATGAAGGTTGCAAGTGGACCTTATTTAATATTGAACATTTCTGTAGCATTCCAGGAGTGTCTATTCTGCTGAAAGTATGGATAATGGATAGCAAAGTGCATGTGAACTAGACCAACAAGCTATTACAATTCAGGACAGGTTATGAGGAAAATATCTCCTCAGTTTGTTAACAAGCAAGATGGGGGAACTGCTTGCTGTTGTACCAAAATTAAGCAACTATGCAACTATCCAGGTTTACAGACATTGATGTAAAAGGAACAAAAGCATAGAAGAAGAAAACCAGTTTGTTAACAATTCCTACATATTGCAATTGCCACAGTGACAATACAGTGTCGGTATAGTAGCTTCTAATAGGGAGACTGGTAGAGCCAAGTTGATCCCAGCCAAGCCAGTGCAAAATATACTTTACTGCCTCATCCCTTTTTCATTTGAAACTCAGTGGAAGTTCGTTTATTATTTCTTCGAAACATTTTTCACCCTCCCCAATGCTGAAATGGTTTCCACAATGATTTCTAGGAGAACAGTGAGAAACAAATCTATATGTGCCCATGGGAATAATATGTAAATAATAATACAGAAAGAGAATGCAGTGTAGAATAGGGAGTCTGGATGCATTTTGTAAAATTATAATGAGGAGCAAAGAGAAGGAAGAAGGAAAAAACTTCACATTTGTTACTTAAAAACAAAGTATTGCAGCATTTGACAGACTAATATACGTATTTATTACAGCACAATTCTGTCAATTAGTAGGCAGGAATTATATATATATATATATAATATGATATAAAGCATCTGTTGCTTTTTTGATAATTGTAAGCCTGTGGGCTTTTTGTAGTTCTTCATATTATCATGCAATGATATACTTATTTTCATTATATTGTAACATGATAAAATGCTGTGGGACATTCCAAATTCAGTGGTACAGTATAAATGTAATGATGCAGAAATAAATGCATACATACATAAAACTGGTGCAGTACATGACGTAGTACTTGTGACAATTGTGTGAAGCAAAATAACAATTAAGAGGCACAGCAATTAAGTGACAGTCCAGCCACCCTAACCCTGACAAGTTAATTAATAACTATAGTGAATAGAAAACAGTTATTTGTAATCAAATTTAAATGGATAGTGTCAGATTCTTGATTGAATGTTCTAGTCCAACAGTTCCTTATCCCAATTGTAGTTTTCTTTGCAATTTTTCTAGTAGTGAATGAAAGGTTTCATATCAGAAGTAGGGTTCCTTTTGAAGTCAAAGGTTTCTCCCACTTGGTTCTAGATTTTGCTCTTTGTGCTATTAGATTTGTGCCTGCTGATTCTGTTGTACAAAAACTACTCTATAAATGGAATTATTAGCAGAATATGTACATAGCTTTGGACAGTGGTGAAATCCAATTTTTTTTACTACTGGTTCTGTGGGCGTGGCTTGGTGGGCGTGGCAGGGGAAGGATACTGCAAATCTCCATTCCCAACCCACTCCAGGGGAAGGATACTGCAAAATCTCCATTCCCACCCCACTCTGGGGCCAGCCAGAGGTGGTATTTGCCGGTTCTCCGAACTAATCAAAATTTCTGCTACTGGTTCTCTAGAACCTGTCAGAACCTCCTGGATTTCACCCCTGGCTTTGGAAGATGAGCAAATGCCTCTGTCTCCTTCACTGGAAAAGTATTAGAGTTTTAGAAATGCCTGGTGTAAATCCTTAAATTGTGACTCCCAGTGGCCGTATAAACTGCAGGCAATGGATTATGTGATATGTCCTGGATGGATATTAGACATTAAACAGATTCAGCTACTTATATTAAATCCTCTGATATTCTCCAAGCAATAAAGCAATAATGCAGATCTCTGGTGTCCAATTAGTGAATTTTAACTGACCTTCCTTACTGATGCTAATGCCAGTCTTTTATGCGGGTCTCTTTTTCCTTTCATCTCAACCCAAAACCACAAGAGATAGACAGGCAGACAGATAGACAGAACCCCAGAATTATTATTTTTTTTTAAAGAGGTATATCCCAATCCCAATCATATTTGATTTTGTGTTTGAAGACAATGTTGGGACAAACTACTTTAAGCCCAATTTTGCTCAGTCCCTTTCCAAGTAAGGGTCTTAACTGGTTGAGCCCTGACTTCATTTAACTTAGCACCCCCATACTACGTTGTTGTTGTTGTTGTTGTTGTTGTTAGTTGCGAAGTCATGTCTGACCCATCATAACCCCATGGACAATGTTCCTCCAGGCCTTCCTGTCCTCTACCATCCTCTGGAGTCCATTTAAGCTCACACTGATTGCTTCGGTGACTCCATCCAGCTACCTCATTCTCTGCCATCCCCTTCTTCTTTGGCCCTCAATCTTTCCCAGCATTAGGCTCTTCTCCGGTGACTCCTTCCTTCTCATTAGGTGACCAAAGTATTTGAGTTTCATCTTCAGGATCTGGCCTTCTAAAGAGCAGTCAGGGTTGATCTCCTCTAGGACTGGCCGGTTTGATTGCCTTGCAGTCCAAGGGACTCGCAGGAGTCTTCTCCAGCACCATAGTTGCTGGAGAAGACTCCTGCGACTACATTGTAGAATGGGCATTTGTTAATCCTTAGTTAACAAATATATTTTTCCTATTTTACTTTCTTCTCAGCACACCTTCTAAGATGGCTCCTGCTGTTCTGTTTGCATGTATCTTCTAAAGGAGAGCGCTCTCTTCATTAAACTGTTCTTTTACTCACTTGCATATTCATGCCAGTTCAGTTCATTAAAGCCCTTAATTAATTTGTATGATTAATTGGCAGAGGTTTTTAACAGTTTGTCAGAACTAATTTCAGACTGCTACTATACCATTTTCTTCTGTGCTGGAGTCTATAAGTTTAATTGTTACTGATGGTGATCGCTGACTGAAACTATTCTTATAGGCATTTTTGTAAAAGCAATTCCTTTATTTTTTTCCCATCAGTTGCAGCTTATATTACCATAGCAACAATGGCAATGAGTTGTTAATTAAATATTTTAATGAATTCACATATGTTGCTTTACTGGTTTCCTGCCCACCCCTTTTCTTAATTTCACCTGAAATTAAAAATGTCCAGGAGGCCCAAAGTAATATTTCCCATTTCTTCCACAACCTGTGCACCTTTATCTTTTCCAGATTTATTTATTTATATATCCACGCACATTTTAAAGCTTATATGTGCTAGTGTTTAGCAGAATTTTTCAGCAGAGTATGGGAAAGAAAGATATTCTTGTATGTGTTCTATTAAAAAAATATGCTTTCAACAGCTTATCTGGGTCATCCATGGTCTTCAAAGAACAACATGAAAAGAAGAAGGAAAAGATTATTGAGCTAGTCAAACATTGTTAAAGCAGGAGTCCAAGAGTGGAGAGAATACCCTTAATATCGTTGGGTTTTTGTTTCTGGGAATAAATGAGGTTTTAATTCTGGAAAATGCACCTTGGAAAGAATAATTACATTTATCAATATCAGTGGCTATGCCACCGGACTAGTAGGATCAAGCACAACATTCTAGGAACCACATGGTTCTTACAAATAATGGAGACACTAATTGAAAGGGATGGGAGATAGGTTCTTTTTTTCCTAGCTGTGAAGGTATTACAATTGGAGCATTGCAAAAATAGGAGTCTGGCCAATAACATAAATCTTGGGAAAGGATTTGTTAAGCAGCTTATAACTGTTCATTATTCGTTTTTTAAGTTTGGGGGGGGGGAAACATTGCAAACTATAGAATTGGCCTTTTGCAACTAAATAAGAGTTAGTTGTTCTTTCTTTGTATGATTTCATGATCTGTTGGCCACATCTCAGTTTTGCTTGTGAAGTGATCGTTATTGCAAGATATTATCTTTCTTAATTCATTTTTGTCTTTTAGTTTATTAACTCTGTTTGTTGGCATGCTGCCCTCAAATTTTATCCCCAGTAGCAACTTACCAATTGCTTTTTGCCCTAACCCTAACTCCTTTTAATTCAATAAGTTGGGGATTTTTCTGCCTTAATGACAGAATTGACACCTCAGATAAGTTATGTGTAAAAAGAAAAGAACTGGAAGGACAGCTCAAAAGAAAAACACATAATACAATCACACTATTCCAGAGTAAGCAAAGTACAGAAAGAGATAGGAACTTGCAAGCAAAGTAAATTAAAGGTGTGACTTACAGTAAAAGGAAAGAAAAGGAAATATGACTCAACCTAATTTTAAATCACAGTAGCTACTGTACCTGTCCTTATCTTTCTACCCTTCTTTAATTCTATCATATCCATGCTGTATAGATTTCATTTTCTGCTTTTAAGTTTCTCTTTTTGTGGTTCTCATCAACTCCATCCTACCATGACTTTTTCTGCTTTCCCCTTCCTGTATCAGCAGTTAATAAAATAGTCTTCCTTCATGTATTTCTTTGTATAAGAGAAATCTTTGATATTTCTGAGAAAGCAATTTCAAGAGCTGACCTAAGCAATACCACTGATAGTTAATCACAAAAATACCATATGTCATAAAAGTTAATGTACTAAAAATATTTGGTAAAATGATACAAACAATGAGACATTGAAAATATATAGGTAGTCCTCAAATAATGATGCCAGTTGGGACCAGAATTGCTATTGTTAAGAGATATGGTCATAAATTGTGTTGTCACATGTTCCCACCACATAACGAGTGTAATTCTGCAATTCCATCATTAACTGTGAACCCCTGGGTCATTAAGTGATGATGTCAGCTTTGGAAGCCATATTAAGCTGGAAGCTTTCAAGCTGCCAACATGATCACGACCTCCTGATGACTTCCCCATTGATTTTGCTTGATGGTGCACCCTAATAACAACATGAACATTACAAAAAAAAAAAAGAACTTCCAAAAACCAACTTGTGGCACCCTGAAACAACATTTCTCAATGTATTAACAGTAATCTTTTCTGGGCTCTGTCTTCATACTAATCCAGTGCTTGGTGGAAAAGCCACCTGTTAGAAGCCTTCTGGACCTGGCACAGTTGGCAAATATTTTCAGGGAGAAGTGACCCCACCAATAACCTGCCTCTGCCATTCAGCTCTTAAAAAGTGATAACTACCATGTGGAATCATACCAGAAAAAAAACTGGAAGTCAGTGTGCTGGTGTCCTATGGAGAAAATTGAAATGGGACACTTGAAACTATGCACACTGCTGCATTCTGGACCAGTTGTGATTTCTGGATGCCCTTCAAGAGGAGCCCCTTGCACAGCATGTTGTTGTCATCCAGATAGGAAGTGACTATGATGAGTGATGGTCAGCAAGGCCTCCTAGTCCAACATTAGGTGCAGTTGGCACAGGAGATGCTTCTGTGCAAAGCTCGCCCCTCCCCCCAACCAAATAGGGGTCATAAGTTCAGGAGAACTCTAGAATTGCACACCAACTCTCACTGGGAAGTGCTGTTCCCTCAAAAATCAAAGATGATACCTCTCCAGATTGTGGGGTGAGAAACTAAAAACCCAAAGCTACTCTGTCTTTCTAGGGTTGAGTCAGAGCTGGATTCCTCCTCAACCAGATCCCCACATCTTCTGGGCCAGAGGTAAAAATGAACTATAGCAATAAGGGTCCTGTCTACGTTCTTAGGAATGACCTATTTAGACTTTCTCTAGATAACTTGATAACTCTAAGAGCCTTGGTGGCGCAGCAGACTAAAGTGCTGTTAAGTAGCACCAGCTGCCTGCAATTACTGCAAGTTCAAATCTCACCAGGCTCAAGGTTGACTCAGCCTTCCATCCTTTTGAGGTAGGTAAAATGAGGACCCGGATTGTGGGGGCAATAAGTTGACTTTGTATAAAAAAGAACACCGCTTAGGAGAGGGCCGAAAGCCCTACTAAGCAGGTATATACAAAAGTATGAAGGCTATTGCTTAACGCCCTGAGTCTCCCGAGAAGGACGGCATATAAATTAAATAAATAAATAAATAAATAAATAAATAATAACTGGATTTGAACAAGTCTTAGGCACTTCTATAGGATCTGTACATCTGGAATCCAAGTTCAAGCAAAGGTAAGTGGTTCTATCAAACAGATGCCAACAATATTTCTCAAAGAGACCCTGTAAGGATTCCCCCCGCCCCTCCTTATCAAAAGAGACCTAGTCACTTGAAATGAGGCCACCAGCTGGCTTTCTCTAGAGTGAAGAAATGAGCTCACTTCACCGCTCTTATCACCACAAGATAAGCTGTAATAAATGCTCTTACCGCTGCTTAGACAGCTTCACTCTTCACCTTGTGTCATCTGTCTCCGCGATGGTCCCTCCCTTCACATCCATACTTGCTTTAATGTTGAAACAGACTGGATTTCAGTGAGTTTATGGGTGCTGCTTAGGATGTATTCACAAAAGCTCCCAACTATTCAAGGAACTCAAATATTTGGTTTGATTTATTATTGGTCCAGCTTTTGAATTGTTATTTGAACAAACCATACATAGGTTTTGATTATGGAGAATTCAGTAACTATGAATTGATTTTTCTCTAACAGCAATGAGAAACGACGCAGGGAGCAAGAGAACAAATACTTAGAAGAGCTGGCAGAGCTGCTTTCAGCCAATATTGGAGAAATTGACAGCCTGAGCGTTAAACCAGACAAATGCAAGATTCTAAAAAAAACGGTTGATCAGATTCAGCAGATGAAAAGACTCGAACAAGGTAGATCTGCAAAATATTTTGCCTTTTTTTGTTGTGGTTAATTCCTTGTGTTCTTGAATTTATAATACAATGATATATAAACTATGTGCCAGGATCTTCTTGAGGAAGTGCAGGAAAAGGTAAAATAGAATCCTATCAGTCATCCACTGCTAAAGCCCAATTGATCAAAATTCAAGTTTTACATAAGATTATCTTCTTGGTTCACACTGGATGAAGTGGGAAAACAAGATCTTCACTGTTCTACAATGGCAACCTGATTTTTAATAAGCAATTTCAGGTAAACTCCTGCTGTGTCCTGATAATAACATTCACTGTATGCACATTGTAAGGAAGGAGCGAAAGTTGTTTTATAAAGCTACTGCACGGTTAATATTCCATCCCAAAGATAATAACACACAATTGCAAATAGTAACACCATCCCTAACCCTTACAAATTTTGGACGTACACTAAGGGTAGTAGAAAGCAAAACAAGATCAATACATTTGAGGGGCATTGAGCCATAGAACCAAAAGACAGGCTGCATATTATGTGCAACTCCATCTAGTGAAGGATGTAATGTACTTTTTTCCCCCTGTAAATTAGCAAACAGCTTTGGGAAGGATTGAAATGTAGCAGAAGACCTGGCTGGAGAGATGGATACTTAATGTTTTCATTGTCCCTTTTCCCCTCATGATTTTCTTCTTATAACATCCTAATTCTGGATCCTGCAAAGTTAATGTGGAATCATTTGGGATAGATGGACTTGGAGCAAGAAATTGATGAGCAGAGAAACATTATGCACTTTCATTGTGTTTCCTACTGTTCTGATACTTGTAATACTCTCTCAAAGCTATTTACAAAAACAATCCCCAGTGCATTTTTGTAGCAGATTTCCCCATATCACTCACTTGATATTTATTTCTTGCCTGAGATGCCAGTGCATAAAATGTACTATTTCAAAGAAAAGTCAGTATTATTCCCTCCGCTCCCCAATGTATCTTATATAGATTGTGTGTATGTGATTGCTGGGGACATTTCAGGGGAGAATTAGTACATTGGAGTCGATGCTCAACAATTTCTTCAGTGCCGATCCTCTACCTTCCCAGCTGCTTGGGAGGCAGGGACCATTTATAATAGGAGCCTGTGTGCAGAGCAAGGGTACGTTCAATTTTGCTGTCTTGTCACTTCCTACTCATACTTCCTCTATCCTTGCAGTCACTTTTGTTTGCCAAGCTAAAACACAGTTGTAGTTCTATTAAGAATATAAGAGCAGCTGATTAACAGGCATTACAAGCTGTAGACTGAAAATCCTCGGTCATTAAATTTGCTTCATCAGATCTGTTTATCTCAAAAAGAGGCACAATAATTTTATATGCAAATAAATTCTTAAGAATCACTAGCCAAGGAATTCCAGTAATGTTACGGGACCAGTTCTATGCCATTGGCTAATATTCATCCCAGTACTCAGGATAAAGAATGCAGATTTCTGTTTATGTTGCAAACAGACTTCTGAAAAGAAGGTTTTGAGATACCTATTTTAATGTGATGTACTGTCTGAGAAACTACAAAAACATTTTGCTTGGTAGAGACTTGAATTTTAGTTTTAGGATTGAAATTACAAAATTATACATGTTTCTATAATGGCTTGCAGTTGGATGACACCAGAATCTTTTAAGGGAAGGAAATTGGGGTAGGAGGCAGATATGGCTATTTGAGGATTTGTAATTGCTTCAGAGAGCTGCTAACCATATCAGGCAACATTATACAATACAAGTATACTTGTTGTCTTCAGTTGTTAGTTGGATATGTCCAATCTAATATAAGGGAGGTTTCTTGCATAGGAAATAATATGCCTGAATTACCTTTCATTCAGCTCTGGATGCTGAAAATTATTGTGTGAGCTTCCAACTATAACATTTCTACAGTGCTATAATTAACTTTTTTCATTGAATTTTAAAATGAACAATTCCCTTGTTTTGTTTTATTTTATTTCAATTTCATTCAAAGTAACAATTTTTTAAAAAAATTGTGAGTATCACTTAAAGCAGGGCTGTCAAATTCCCGCCCCGTGGGCAGAATGTGTCACATGCTAGCGAAGGGGGAAAAGTCCCAATAGATCATGTGACACTGCCATGATGACGTGAGTTTGACACCCCTGACTTAAATCTATCTCTTTAGGGCAGGAGGTGGGATGGTAACACATACCTGACAATTTTCCACTTGCCTCATATCTGATATCTGGACACAAGTGCATAATGATATCATGTGTATATCATAATTCTGGCCTCGCTGCAAGAGCCCTGGTGGTGCAGTGGTGAGAATGCAGTATTGCAGGCTAATTCTGCCCAGAGCCAGGAGTTTGATCCTGACAGGCTCAACGTTGACTCAGTCTTCTATCCTTCTGAGGTCAATAAAAAGGACCCAGATTTTGGGGGGAAATGTGCTGATGTTATAAACCGCCCAGAGAGTGCTCTGAAGCACTATGCGGCAATATATAAGTCTAAGTACTGTTGCTATTGTTACTGCTATTGTATTGTGGGTACTTGGCCCAAAGTATCCATTTATGTAGTCTTTCTACTTTTATGCATTTTAAAACTGTATCTGCTTAAATATGTATATGAATGTGTGTGTGTATGTGTGTCTGTGAATGCAATTATGTGATTTCAGTGGATTTCCATTTGGCTGCCAATGCACTAAACCTATCACTTACTTGAAAGAAAGAGCGACAATTAATGGCACAGTTAGAAATGCTGAGATGAAAATAAATACTACTTTCTGGAAGTCTGAATAATTTCTGGGAGAAACAACATTTCTCCATTCAGTATAACTTTTCTACAAAAAAAAAGATCGCTGAGATAATCAGACAAGTAATCAGAGCCATATACTACAGTATGCAGTAAAACCCAAATCTTATACTACAAAATCCATCTACTGAGTCATTCCAAAGTAAAATACTGTTGGGCATAATTATACATTGCTAAAATGCTACTTTAGGAGAACAGAAGCCAATAATAGATTGGGGGGAGGGTAGAAATATCTAGATTTTAAATTTGAATTTCTGTGCTCATACAATTCAAGAGAAAAATTCTCTCATTTCTCCCACTGTAGCTAAATTGCTAGCAGCTGGGAGCATGAGAAATAGGGGCCCTGCCAAGGTCTATTCTGGAATCCCTTCATGCTTAGATGAGAGAAAGAGGCACTCCATGTTTCTCTCTAAATTGAATGCTTGCTTTGTAGCATTGGTAGCTAATTTGAAAGACAAAACATAGGGCACATAATCTGTCAACTTGCCAAGGAGAAAAGACACTGCTTTTCATCCCAAGGAAGTTTTCTTTACATCCAGAATGGGGGGAATGAAAGCGAGGTTCTAACATTCTTGCCAAGGATACTTGTGAACTCTGCAGTCCATGTAGCCCATAATAAGCATGTTCACATGTTAATGTTTTCTCATGTTTACACCTTTCATTTAAGCCTCTTAGGAGACAGTTTACACACTGTGTTTATTTTGTGGCAAACAATAATGCATGCCTCTCAGTAGGAACAGAAAATGAAATGGCTGCTTTCCCTGTTAGCAATCATATTATTCTTGCTACAAGTTAAATATAAATACAGAAAGCTGTTCTTGATGATACTTGTGAAAGTGTATTGAGATTGCAATCAGCTGGATTTATCACCTTCTGTTTCAGAAAGTTAGCTTTTTCACAAAAAAAAATCTGTATGAAAAATATAACATTTTCCACTAGATATCTAATTTTGGAAGGGCATTATTTCAATGTTAACGTTTTAAAATTAAATTGTTGTTAAGTGCCAAGGGAGAGTAAAATATCTCTGTATGAGATCTCAGATATCTGTTTCCATTTGGGAGTAGGCAATTTTGAATGTGATAAGGCAATTTTCCAATTCTAAATAGAAAGCCTCATATCTCTGGGAAATATATATATAATTCCAAGTCACAAGAGATTTCAACTCTGTTGCTATAAGGAAATTAAATATTCCAAGCTTCAGAAACTTCAGTGTATGCAATTCTTTAAAAATATTATCTCAAAATGCCTCAAAGTTTCTTATGGTTTAGCAAAGTGATTTTGTCTTTGTCCCTGTAATTCTCAGCTGTGTTCCTGCAGGATGATAGTAAAGCTAAGTTAATGGAACATTCTGGACAGGACTGAAGGAAGCCCTTTTACAGCTGCTTGAATTTTTCAAAACTATTCAGACAGACCACCCCGAGTGGCAGAGGATAGCTTTAAAAAGGCAAGGAATTCCTGTGAATCCAATCCAAATTCTTCTGCTCAAATTCATGATGCTGGTTTTGAAAAGTAAATAATTGATTCCACATGTATTTAATTGTAAATTGATACTTTTGCCTCTGCCTATTGGTGAGTGTTAGAAAAAAAAAAAGGTTTCTGGAGAAACAGCCTGGTGGGGGGGCAGACTAAAGCACTGTTATTAACAGTTATTAATATCAGCTGCCTGCAATTACTGCAAGTTCAATTCTCACCAGGCTCAAGGTTGACTCAGCCTTCCATCCTTTCTAAGGTAGGTAAAATAAGGACCCAGATTGTAGGGGCAATAAGCTGACTTTGTATAAAAATATACAAAAGTATGAAGGCTATTGCTTAACGCATTGTAAGCCGCCCTGAGTCTCCAGAGAAGGGCGGCATATAAATTAAATTTTAAAAAAATGTAAGTGAGGTTAGACTATATGAGGAGAAGTTAGTGCCATTGGCCTCTGTAAATGCTTTATGACACTTTAGGAAAGTGCTATATACTGTATACAGTATATACTGTACCAGTGTTTCTATATACTGTACCAGTGTTTCTCAGCCTTGGAAACTTAAGGATGTATGGACTTCAACTCCCAGAATTCCCCAGCCAGCTGGCAAGCTGGGGAATTCTGGGAGTTGAAGTCCACACATCTTCAAGTTGCCATGGTTGAAAAACACTGCTATACACTGTTGGAGAGAAAGGGATTTTTCGGAAACATGCATTCAGTGATGTGCTTCATCAGATTTCATGCACACTA